GAGGTTTGCTTTGTACCACTCTCCGCTTTTGTAGAAAAAATCCGTTTATCTCCTTCCTTTGCTGATGCACTTACACTGGCAGCACCAGCAGCGGCAGCAGCAGCGGCAGCAGCAGCAGTTGCTTCGTCAGCATCACCAGCAAAAGCCCCAGGCGTTGCATCCATCCCTGCGGCATCCCCACCAGAGGGGAGACCGGAGCATGACAGGCAGAGAAAAGCGCTGCTGACCAATCATGGTCCTTCAGCGGGTATCCGGATCCAAACCACTGGGCTGAAGGCCACGTGCCGAGCCGGGTCGCCACGTGTGGAGGAGGAGGAGGGGGAGGAGGAGAACACAGGCACGAATGTTTTTTGGGAGTTTTAAAAAAACAGGAGGAGGGGGAGGAGGAGAACACAGGCACGAATGTTTTTTGGGAATTCTAAAAAAAACAGGAGGGGGAGAACACAGGCACGAGGGCAGCGCTGAGCTTGCTTGTATGGTCGGCACGATAGCAAAGGAGCGCAGGCAACGGGGGGGGAGGGGGGGGAGGAGGAGGAAAGGCATGATAGGCATGAGGGGCGAAGTGGGCGAGGGGAACATGGGGGGTGTGGGGGCCGGGGACAAGGCTGATGGTGTGAGGGCGAGCACGCGGCTGATTTTTGAGAATTCTCAAATATCTCTCGCATGGGGGGCGTGAGGGGCGGGGACAAGGCTGAAGGTGTGAGGGCGAGCGGGCGGCCTCTAGGCAGACTGGGGTGCTACATGGAGTGAGTGGGAGTAGGCGCACGGGGAATGTGCGTAGGGGGAATGAGCGTGTGGGGAATGTGCGTAGGGGGAATGTGCGCAGGGGGAATGCGTGTAGGAGGAACGTATGCAGGGGGAATGTGCGTAGGCGTTGTGTAGGGGGAACGTGCGCAGAGGGAATGTGTGTAGGGGGAACGTGCGCAGGGGGAATGTGTGTAGAGGGAGTGTGCGCATGGGGAGTGGGCACAGGGGCAGTGGGCGCAGGGCCAGTGGGTGCAGGGGCAGCGGGCGAAGCGGGAGTGGGCGATGGGGGAGTGGGCGCAGCGGGAGTGGGCGCAGGGGGAATGGGCGCAGGGGGAATGGGCACAGAGGGAATGGGCGCAGAGGGAATGGGCACAGGGGGAAGAGGCTGCGCAGGGGGAGTGGGCGCAGGGGGAGGAGGCAAGGTGGGGGATTAGCACGGGGGGCAGCGCGGCATGGTGAAGGGGGAGGAAGGCGCTGAGAGGACGCGAGACAGAAGCTCGTAGCGCCATGGATTGGCCGGATTGGCTGGACTGGCCGGATTGGCTGGATTGGCCGGATTAGCTGGATTGGCCGGATTGGCTGGATTGGCCGGATTGGCTGGATTGGCCGGATTGGCTGGATTGTTCGAATTGGCTGGATTGTCCGGATTGGCTGGATTGGCTGCCATGCTGCGCTGCTTCAAGCAGGTGCGGGGCTGTTGGTCGAGGCCCTGCCTGGTGGGGTCCAGGTTCAATGTACCCCGCCGGCATGGCAGTGGATGGGGAGGGAGAGGGCGAGCGGGACGGCGACCGCGAAGGCGAAGGGGAGAGAGGGAGGCGGGCTCGCGCCTGATGCTGCTGCTACTATCGCAGAGAATGCCGCATTGATGCCTGCCGTTGCAGCGGTGTATGTGACTCGACTGGCTGTGACCGTGGCGAGGGGGGGATGATGTGGCGACTGTCGCTGCCAGCACTCGCCGTGGTGCGCGCATGAAGCCAGGCGTGTGCGCCCATGCGCGCCATAGGCAGCCGCCGTCCGTCGCAGCAAGAGCGGCCACTGGAATCTCGTCAATGTCATGCCCCCCCTCCTCCTGCACCTCCTCCTCCTCCTCCTCGTCCTCCTCCGTCGCCTTAACGCGGCTTTCCTCTCCGCCTCGTCCGAATATTCACCGCCCATCTCGCACCGCTCACCACTGCCTGCTAGTAGCTAAGGCGTGCTGCAGGTTGGGAGAGACGGCGGCGCACAGGCGGCGACAGGCGCGGACTCGGAGCGCACGATGACCTCGCGGAAGCAATGATGTGCGCAAATGCCGCCGCGATACAGGTTGCGAATCGGGTCATTACTGCCAGTAATGACTAGTAAGGTAGGTGACACACGAGTCGTGTCAGATCTGGATTCGCAACGATTTGCAGTTGCAGGCTTTGTCGGCTTCTTCTCGGGAGCGGATCTGGCCAGTGACAATACTCGCTCCTTGTTCGGCGGCGGCGGCATCTCGCCAGCGTCGGGAGTCAAGCTCCGCGAAAGCCGCCACGACTGACGCGATTGCCGCCGCGAGGAGGACTGTTGGGACGGCGGTGGCGTGGCCGCCTCATCGTCTCGTGCGAATGCCTCACGATCTGTTCTTCTTTTCGCACTGCACGAGCAGGATCTGCGACACGATGATTGGCCCAACGCTGCCAGCGAGAGCAACAGGGCTGACCACTGGTTTAGGGCGTGGCACGTCGTGATGATCATCTGTTCGATCGGAATTTGCAGCAATCATCGGCGAGCCACGTGGCGACTCGACTCGGAGTCGCCAAATCGGCAGCAGAGTGGAGATCGACCGCATGCCGCGCGTCACTCGGGAGATACTCCGCCGATCGCGCCGCCAATTCCACTGCTGGTGCATGTGATTCTAGATGGCTTCGTCCTAGATAGCGGGAAAGACGGCGTCTGTAGGCGGAACAGGCACGTTGCTTTGGCGTGTAAACGAGACGACAACGAATCAGACGAATCGCCTAGAAGAGCGGCGGTAGCAGCGGCGGCCGCCGCGAGAACGGTTTCCGCCTCCTCCACCACCGCCCATGCACATTCCATCACCCTGGCGCATACGTTCGCCATCGCCGCTTTCCTTTTTAACTCGCTCGCGTGCGGGCTGTTAACGGCAGCCGGCGACGGAGGCATCCACGTGAGGGCCTCGCGTGCCGTCCGAACGGCACGGTGCCGTCGCGGCATCTAATCAGTCGATTTCGGAAAAATGAGAGTCAATGTGACCTTAACAAGCCGTTGACAGCTTCTGTCGAAAGGCCGCGCCGTCTTGGGGGAATTTTATCTTATCTCTTTCTTATTCTTCAAACAAGGGATCCATTCACTTTAGTAACACCAATGTTCCTGGCTTTACTACGAGGTGTTTCGGTGAAGCCACCAAAGGCTAACGCGTCACCTCCCTCGATCGATTGTGCAAAATCGAGGAAGATTGATCGTCCACCGCACTAAAACCCCGAGTGTTGCATTTAGATTTGTTTCAAAGGTGTTTAAAGCCGGAAGCCCAAATTGCACAAGTTTTAAAATGATGACGCGAGGGGTTTTTTCTGGTTTGGGTTTTGGCGAGTGATTCCGACTTCGGGCATTTCGTTTTTTTTCGCCAAACCCAGCCAGCCCACGTATTTCGCCCTGGGGGTTGTGTCAGCACCCGAAAGTTCCAAATTGCAGGTGCGCTGCTTTTCAAAACTTGCTCACTGCACTTCGTCAAGTTTTAAAAGCATGACCCATGCGCCTCGCAATTTGGGACTCGGGCTTTAAACCCAATCAAAAATCAAAGCTTCGCAGGATCGATCGAGGGATGTGACGCGTCCTAAGGGCGTGTGCACTAGGGGTTCGAACATCTGTCTAAGTTCGAACTTTAATCGAGGAAACTCGGTACGATACTAATAAGAGACGTTTTGCCACGGTGCAAAGCGGTAAATGCTCAAACTTTGACAAGTTTCGCCCAAAGTGCACACGCCCTAAAAATTAGCAGGCGGGAGAGGATGGAGGTTGACCTGGGACTCATACAAGAGCAAAATCTCAGAGACATGGAAGGGGGGGTTGGCGAGATGCGATAAGTTGGGATACAGTGCGGTGGGGTCTGGCGCGGTAGGGCAACATGGAAACACCTCCCGCGAACAAACATTGCGGGGGGAAGTGTGTGAAACCCTCGTGGGGAAGGGTTTTGTGCGCAGATATGGGTCAAATCCCTGCTGGGAAACACGTCACCAGCGCCGCATGCTGACGCGGCCAAGCGTGCAAGGATGTCAGCGGAGGCCAGTCCAGGTCGTTCAACGCGTTGCTGTACGGTAGCTTATGAAGTCTGGCTCGGGCCCAGCCAGCTCGACATCTGGTACGGAAAAAATCCGAGCCAACGGCCTTGGGCCTTCGTGAAGGGACCCAGAACCACCACCGCTTTCGAGATTCTTGCCCCGTGAATCCTGCAGAGTCTGTCCGTCTGCTTTCTTCGTTGTCACACGCACCTCACAGGAAATTCAGGATTGCAAATTGGTTTCGGCAGATGAAGGCACGTTCCTAGTAGTAGAATATTCCTCGTTAGGGATGCGCCAACATGATTGCTTCACCGCGTCGACTGCTTCGATGAAGGTCAGTTCGGCCACGGCATGATGAGGAGCAGCTGACTCCTCACAGCCGAGGCGCAACTCATGCCTCTGATTACTAATCGCGCGGCGCAATGACGTCAAATAGCCGCAGATCTCGGGATGCTGACGGCATGACAGCGTGACTTCGCGTCATCGTGGTCGTGCCGCCAGCTCAGAGCTAAGTTAGAACACTACTACTATCGCTTTTTTCACGTGCCTCGACAGCGACTTCGCGTCATTTGCGCTCGTGCCGCCTGTTGAGAGCTAAGTTAGAACAGTATCGTCGCACTTGGCCATCATGTTGAACATGCGAACGCGCTTGGTGGGCAATCCTCGGACCACCAGATTGGTTATCAGCGAGCATAAATTCTCGCCATTCCTTGCCTCTTCTCACCACAACTTTCATCCTCTCTTCGGAACGTATACTAAGTTATTGCCTAAAATTTCGGCATTATTGCTCGAAGTAGTACCGCGATGGCCAGACGTTCTTTTTCCGGTGAGCTTTTCGTCCCCGCGGTGACTCTACTGCTCGTGGCGTTGCTCGCTCAGCTGCCCTCGACCACCGGTGCATGTGGCTCTCCCATAAATATGATTTTCAACTGCCTCCTTCCAGTGGCCGAGCTGGTTCTTTCCTTAAATTCAAAGGAAGGTGGTCTCTTGGCGAATATGTTCAATCTAGGCGGCACCAAAGAAATCTCCGGCGTGACTATACTCGTCCCGCGGCAAGACGCCATAAGTGCCGCGGCTGCTCTCTACCCCGCGCATGAGAACACCACGCGCACGTACAGCCAGGCGATCGCAGATGCGCTCAAGCTCATGAACCAAGGGGAAACCTCAGGAACGAAGTGGACCGCCGATCAGAGCCCCCCTGGTGTCGCCAAAGTTTTATCGGATATCTGGAATTTCCAGATCGTGCAGAAGTACATTCCGCCCTTTGTCGCGATGCAAGAGGTGAGTTTTTCACTGGCAGCGTCGTGGCCCGTCATGAGAGTTTAGGGTCAATCCTGGCTAAAACATATCAAACCGTTGACCGGTAGTAGAGGGTAAGGAGAGGAGGGCCTTCAAGAAAAATATTATTGAATCTTGCATCGCAACCGTTGACTCAGTCCTCGTAACTGAGGTAAAAATAAAAAAAAGAGTACTTGAAATGCAAAATGTCGTACCAGAAAGTTTCGAGGTAGGTTGTTGCACCAAATCCGTTGCTTTTAGACAACTGCAGCCCTTTGCGAGGCGTGCTCATCATGTCACGCCCTCCTCACCACTCCACTATCCTTCCCCACTCCGTGACAGTACTCCTCTGGTGGGCCGTTCGAGCTCAAGTCAAAGCAGGGAGAGTCGCTCTGGATGACATACGTCCCAACTCCGTACGGCGGAGCCATGAACATCTCGGGCATGTCCCCTGAGCAGCGGGCCGGCTCGCCGTTGCCAAATGTCAACGGCTCTGTTCATCTCGATGGGAGCCCATTTGCGTACACAATGTTGGATTTCGGAGATGTGATTGTGGACAATGTGGACAGCAAGGTCGTGGTGTATAGGAGCGATGCGGTGCTTCTTCCTTTAAAGATGGATCCTCTTGGCGCGTATGTAGGTAAGTTATTATTACAAACCCACAGACGCACGCATACCACATACCCATACCCACCCATACATGCACACCCACGCTCGCATGCAGGTGCGCGAGCGCAGACGCGCACACACACAAACACACATACGCACTGGTGCATTTGTGTGACCCAAATAAGCCAAGTGTGTTTCTCATACCTCATCGCACCACATGATGATGCATACTCCCCACCACGCCGCCCTAAGATCTCTCTCCCCCCCTCCTCCCCCCCCCCCCCCGTTCTCCTGGGTGTCCTGCAGGAGCCACTGCTTCCATCTTCCACCTGTTTGCCTCCTTTGGCATCGCTCTCGCTGCACTCATGCTGATGTAACCATCCCTCCTGTTTGCAACTAGGGTCCTTTATGTAAACACAGCCTACGGCTGGCGGGGGAGACCACGAATGGGCCGTCCCCGGATCAGCCGTTGCTCATGCATTGCACTGGGATGGGACTGGGCTTGAAGGATGGTGCCTGTGAACGGACTGGATGGTAAAAGAATAACAGGGCCATTGTTTGGTTAGCTTGCACTAAATTGCACTGTTGAGTAGAGTAGCTAAATGTGTTTGCCTCTCTGGCCCTAATCCTACCAGCTTACCGGTTTTAAAACCAACCGGAGCCTGCTTTTTCCTTCATGTATTCAACACACATGCTTCAAGTATTTAAACTGCAGCAATTGCCTTCCTATGCTGTACTCACACATTGGAATGAACCCCACTAGTAAAAAACCATCGCACAACCGAGACAGGCCTCTCCTCAGAAACAAGCTCCAGCCCGCAGAACCCACTGCCCCAGTAGACTGAGCACGCTTGCACTTGACTCACGTTGACTTTCTTGACCACATCTTTCAGCCACTGTCTCAGCTGTACAAGTGACCAATCACGAGAGGCGTTTCGACCGACACCAGCCCCCCCCCCCCCCCTTTTTTTCACAAGCTCCAGGTTGCAGAACCCGCTGCCCCAGTAGATGAAGCATGAATAGATTTGACTCGTGTTGAATTTCTTGATCAAATCACTCGGCCACTGTCTCAATGCTGTATGCGTGATCAATCCTGAGTGGAGTTTCGACCGACACAGGCCTCTCCTCTGAAACCAGCTCCAGATTGCAGAACCCACTGCCCCAGTAGATGAAGCACGCCTGCACTTGACTCAAATTGAATCGGTTGACCACGGTGCGACCCGTGCCCGGGTCCACTAGGGACCACTCTCCTGTAGGTGCAAAGGAGGGGTGAAAAAGAGGGTTCGTAAGTTGGGTTAAGTCGGTTGACTGGGGTTGAATCGGTTGACCACAGTGCAGCCTGTAGGTGCAAAAAAGGGGTGAAAAAGAGAGTTCCTTGGGTTCGATCGGTTGACTGGGGTTGGATCGGTCGACCACAGTGCAGCCTGTGCCCGGGTCCACCAAGGAGCATTCTCCTGTAGGAATGAAGGTTGGGCAAAAAGGAGGGCTTGTGAGTTCGCGTGAAGAGCACTTTGAAGCAAGGACGACTAAAGGGCACACGCCAACAAATGCAAGGCACGCGATCCCTTGAGAACGAAAGGTGGAGACGGAGTGCTGCTTTAAAAAGCATGGCATGGCATGGCATGGCATGGCATGGCATGGCATGGCACTCACCGTTGGGTCGGTCGTCGCCTCTCAGCCAGATCTCCTGTACGTCTGGCTTGATTGTCACCTCTGCGCCCTTGATGGATGTGAAGCGCACGTGCGGAGTGGCGGAGGAGAAGGAGTGCACCACTCGGAAGGAGGGGTGCGCACGCAGACAGGCGAGGCTGGGATATAGATGTGGGGGCCGGAAGAGGGTTGAAAGGAGGGAAATGAAGGTGCGATTTAGAAGCAGAAGTGAAGCGCACGTGGGGAGCGGCGGAGGAGAAGGAGTGCACCACTCGGAAGGAAGGGTGGACACGCAGACAGGCGAGGCTGGGACATGGGTTCATGGGGGGGGAGGTGCAGGGGAACGGGGGTTCGAGAAGGAAAGGAAGAGGGGTTGAAGCGCATGTGGGGAGCAGCAGAGGAGAAGGAGTGCACGACTCGGAAGGAGGGGTGGACCCTCAGACAGGCAAGGCTGGGATACGGGATTGCGGGGGGGGCAGGGTAGGGTGGGTTGAGACAGGACGAAATGGGTGAGAAGCAGAGGAGAGGTGCATGTGGGGAGCAGCGGAGGAGAAGGAGTGCACGACTCGGAAGGAGGGGTGGACACGCAGACAGGCGAGGCTGGGACATGGGGTGGGGTGGGAGGGGGAGAAAGGAAAGGAGAAGACAGCGAATGAAGGAGGAAGGGCATACTAATTCCAAGAATGGAGAGTGAGGGAGTGAGTGAGTGAGAGGGTGAGAGAACGAGTGAGATGGGACTCGCAACTAGTATGTGGCAAGGCACACCACACCATTCCAAAACAAGGAAGCACAGGGAGTGAGTGAGAGGGCATGGCACGGTCAAGACTCCTGAAAAAAGTCAAATGTCAAAACAACGCATGACTTGTGCGTTGACTTCAATGTCAAAAGTCAACCACATGTCACAACAATGCATGAGCCATAGTCGCAGCATTTACCGCGAGAACCCTCCCGAGCCAGCGCCAATAGCAGCTGCTATGATCGCTGACGTCACGTGCAGCTGATTGGGCGTCGACGGCAGGGCTGACATGGCTACATCGACCGATGCTGGTCCATCCGTCATTGGTCCATCCGACCCGCCACTCAGAGAAGAGGCGCGCTGCTCCTGACCCAGAGTCAGGGACTTGGCATCGGCGGCAGAAGTGGTGGTGGCGGCAGCCCAAGAGGTGGGGATGGGTTGGCCGAGGGAGAAGCAGCGGCGCATGATGAGCCCACTGCCTATGTCTCCCTGCACGATCATGCGATGGCTGCCGCCTGTGCTGTGATCCCTCTGCTCACTGTTTAAGAATATGGGCAGTATCACAAAGCGCAGAAAGGGATAAAAGCATTAGCAATGCAAGTGAGGAGCAAGAAGGGAGAAGCAGCGGCGCATGATGAGACCACTGCTGATGTCACCCTGCCGCCCGTGCTGTGATCCACCGCTGCCGATGTCTCCCTCCAGTATCATGCGATGGCTGCCCCCTGTGCTGTGATCCCTCTGCTCACTGGAGAAGGGGCGAAGAGCATTAGCAATGGAAGGGAGAAATGAGAAGCAGCGGCGCATGATGAGACCACTGCCGATGTCTCCCTGAACGATCATTCTGTCACTGCCGCCCGTGCTGTGATCCCTCTGCTCACTGCGTGGTATGGCATGGGGTATTGCAACATGTAAAGGAGGGATGTAAGCATGAAGAGCTTACTACTGCAAATGTCACCCGGAATGATCATGCGAGTAGCTTTTGAGAAATCTCAAAAGCGACTGAGGTTCAGCCAACTACCGCCAATGTCAATCCAAAAAAGCCCTTTACGTCCACTATTCAGCAGTGGTTGCCGCGCCGCCCAGCCAGCCAATGCCGTGATCCCTCTGCTCACTTACTGCAGGCAGGTCGCAGGGAATCAAGAGTCTTACTGCAGGCAGGTCGCAGGGAATCAAGAGTCTTACTGCAGGCAGGTCGCAGGGAATCAAGAGTCTTACTGCAGGTTACATGTAATACAAAGATACTCACCCTTCCCTCCCCCTAACTCATACCTCCCCACACTCACCACACCACGTGGTATTGCTCCTGACAGCCTGGCGAACGGTACTCGCTCTCTGAATACTCCTCGTACCCACCCTCTTCAAAGCGAGACTCCAGCAGCTCCTGACCTGCGTGAGGAGAGGGGCAGAGCATGGGCGTGGGGGTTGAGCATGGGTGCGGATGAGTTAATTCGATGCTCCGATGCTCTCTGAATACTCCTCGTACCCACCCTCCTCAAAGCGCTGCTCCAGCAGCACCTGGCCTGCAAGAGAGAGGAGTGAGGGAGAGGAGAACGGGGAGGGGGAGGGAGGGGAGGAGGACGGGGAGAGCATGAACGGTTGAGCATGCATGCAGATGAGCCAATCTATCTTGTTCCGATGCGCTCAGCATACTCCTCATATCTATAAGCAAGATCCTCGCAGCAAGACCTCACACCGGCTCGCCCGGAATCGAACTTTGCCTTTTCTTTTGACCCGCCGGTTCGACTTGAACCGAGGAACCGAATTGCCAGATCGAGGCATATATAACCAGAGCCACATCCACTGAATCAATTCTACGGGATATATTCACTCACGTCGCACCATGGATGGTTCCATGTAGAGACAGTCGAGCACAGAAGCACGTCCTGGCAGTGCTTGATTCATATTTGCCGAAAAGATATAGATTCCGGATTGTAATTCTTATTTTCTGTGTGTGTGTGTGTGTGTGTGTGTGTGTGTGTGTGTGTGTGTGTGTGTGTGTTTTTTTTTTTTTAATTCCATATTATTACTACTTCAAGATATTTAAAATAAATCCTCTGTTTCTTTGGTATTTAGGAATTATGTGAATATGAAAGTGATTAACTGTTTGATAAGCTTCTTGAACTTGTCAGCACGTGAATTGCACGTCCATCTTTCCCTCTTCTCAGCCCTTAGCCCCTCCCTTCCTCCTTCCCGCCCTCCCTGTCTCCCTACCTGAATGCCCAGCACCACGCCGGGCTGCAGGTCACCTGCCCATCGCCTTCGCTGTTTGCCCTTCCTGTGTGCCCTCCCTCCTTTCCCCCTTCCCCTCATCCACCCGTGTGAGGGGTAGTGGAAGAACGAGTCCAGCCACCCCCCATGCTTCAGCACCACGTGGCACTGCAAATCGCCCGCTCCTCTCCCCCTTACTTGCTGCTCCTCTATTGCTTTTACCTGTGTACCCACCCGAGCCCACCCACCTGAGGGGTAGTGAAAGAGAGAGTCAAGTCTCCCCCCGTGTTTGAGCACCACGTGGCACTGCAGGTCGCCTGCTGCCATGTTCGTTGCTGCCAGTCTCATATGCGCCCTACCCTACCCACACACCTGAGGGGTAGTGGAAGAGAGAATCAAGCCGCCCCCCGTGTTTGAGCACCACGTGGCACTGCAGGTCGCCTGCTGCCATGCCCCTTGCGGCCAACCTCGTTGCCCCTTGCTTCTCTCCCCATCCATACTCTCTCATCCCTCCCTACCGCTCTCCCTAACTCACCTGAGGGGTAGTGGAAGAGCGAGTCCAGTCTCCCCCCGTGTTTGAGCACCACGTGGCACTGCAGGTCGCCTGCTGCCATGATCGTTGCTGCCAGTGCCTCGCCTCCTTCCTGCCTTCTTGCAGCTAGATCCCACCCTCTTTCCTTCTGTTATTCCCTACAGGTGCGCCATGCCCCACCCACCCACCTGAGGGGTAGTGGAAAAGAGAGTCAAGTCTCCCTCCATGCTTCAGCACCACGTGGCACTGCAGGTCGCCCGCTGCCATGTTCGTTGCTGCCAGGGCCTCGCCCCCTCCCTCCTCCCCATCCTCCTTTGCCCCATCTGGCAGTATAGGAGCGGCTTCTGCAAGCGAGGAGAACATAGAAGGGAAAGAATGAGAGATAGGGCCAGAGAGTAAGTGAGAGGGAAAAAGGAAAAAGAATCCACCTCGTCAGAACGCCAGAAGTGTGTCTTCTAATCACCCATCCACCCACTCCGCCACCACATAACCAATCACATCACCTAATCATCCACCCATGAGAGCCTTCTCTTGCTCCACTGCTGCTGCCACCAGCCTATCAGCCTCAGCAGCAGAGGGCAATGAGTGAGACAGCAAGCACCCTGTATCAACCACCCCATTCACGCCTCATCCATCCCCTCCCCTCCCATCACCCACCCATGAGCGTCTTCTCTTCTTCCACTGCAGCTGCCACCACAGTGTCTGCCTCAGCAGCAGAGGGCAGCGAGACAGAGATCACCCTCGACCAACCAACCACCTCATCCACCCCTCCGCCCACCCACCCATCACCCACCCATGAGCGCCTTCTCTTCTTCCACTGCAGCTGCCACCATAGTGTCTGCCTCAGCAGCAGAGGGCAGCGGGACGGAGATCACTTCGCCATCCCACCCCTCAGCTTGCACCTGGCAGGCCGGGGTAGAACAGATTGACACATGGAAGTTTTGTGCGCATGTGTGTGTGCATGTGCACACACATGCGCACACACACATGCGCATGTGTGTGTGTGAGAAGTTTCGTACCTAACATATAAACAACGGACGAACAAACAAACAAAGAAACAAGCATAAAGCGTGCACATGCTTCAATTGAGCAGGCAAAACAAACCTGGCGAATAAACAAACAGACAAACTCACATAGGCAGGTTTCCGAGGATTCTAAAAAACAAACAGACGAACAAACAAACAGACAAACGAACTCATGTAGGCACCATCTCCCAGCAGCACAGTCTTGTGTCGACTCAAGAGTCAGATGTAATGCAATTAAGGGCGCACAAACAGACAAACAAACGAACAAACAGACAAACAAACTCACATAGGCACCATCTCCCAGCAGCACAGCCTTGTGTCGATCCAAGAGTCATGCAATAAAGGCGCACAAACCGACAAACAACCAACAGAGAAACAAACAAACCGACAAGCAACCAACAGAGAAACAAACAAACCGACAAACAACCAACAGAGAAACAAACAAACCGACAAACAACCAAACAGAGAAACAAACAAACAGAGGAACAAACTCACATAGGCACCATCTCCCAGCAGCACACGAGCAGCCAGCTTCCGCCGGGGCCGATTCCAGGAACCTTCCTCGTTTGCAACCTTGACTTCCACCACTGGCAGCCCACCCTCCCCCGTGCCACGTGTCGCCACGTAACTGGTCAGCAGAAACTCCCCTGCCCTGTACCCAAACCCATCCCCCTCGTCCTCGAATAGCTGGCCCTCACTGGCACCTGGGAAAGTGGGATAAGGGGAGACAAGCAGAGGGAGAGAGGGTGAGAATGGAGAATCAAAGGCAAAAAGCGATCGCTGGTGGTGGGCCAGAGCACTAAAGCCTCAGAAAGCAAACACACCCCTGCTGTACCCCGAACCCATCCCCCCCGTCTTCATGCAGGCATCCTGGGCCCTCACTGGCACCTGGGGAAGAACGGCAGACAACGCAGAGAGGGTTTTTGAACTGCCATGTAACCAGACTTATCCCCCTCTTCCTGGATTAACCACCCCACCAATACCTACGGAAGTGGGATACAGGGAAGCAAGGAAGAACATTGGGGGCGGAAATGTGGCGAAATGGCGATCCTTGGTGGTAGGTTAGACAATCAATGATCAATCAATCCCTCTTGAGCCCTTTTTGAAAAGCACACCCACCCCCCTCACCTACCCTCAGCTCGACAATCATTTATCGAATCCCCGCCCCGTGCAAGCACTTGCCTGTTTGTCTTCTTTCCCACATCCTGAATGACATGTCCTCACCTGATTCGCCGAGGCTGATTAGCAGTGTGACTGGATCTTCTCTATGGAGCTCCTGAGTATTCTGAGCAATGGGTCCTGTGGGTAAAATGGCGCCTCCTTGCAGGAAGAGAAGCGGGAGGTCCTACGGGAGTGGGGCATGGCATGGGGAAGACAGGGAACGAAGGAGGAGGAGGGAGAGTTTGATGGTAAGCAATGGCAATATGTCTTCCTGACTGAGCTCCTGAGTGTGGGCGACAGGCCCTGTGGGTAAAATGGCGCCTCCTTGCAAGAAGAGCAGCGGGAGGTCCTGAGGGAGTTAATGCGGTGCGGAGTGGTATGAGGACACAGAAGGGAGGGGATGATAAGCAGTGCGACCAGTCTTCCCTATCGAGCTCCTGTGTGTTCTGAACGACAGGCCCTGTAGCTAAGATGGCGCCCCCTTGCAGGAAGAGCAGCGGGAGGTCCTGAGGGTGCAGAGTGATAGGGGCATGGAGAAAGGGAGGAATGATTAGCAGTGGCACTGCCGAGTCTTCCCTTTCGAGCTCCTGATTATTCTAAGACACACAGGCCCAGTGGATAAGATAGCGCCTCCTTTCAGAAAGAGCAGCGGGAGGTCCTGTGGGTGATAGGTGTGGCGTGGTGCGGAGTGGTGTGGGGCCACAGCGAAGGAGAGAGGAAAGGAAGCAATGAAAAACAACGTGACTGAATCAACTCAGCACAGCTCCTCAGTATTATGAGCGACAGGCCCCGTGGATAAGATGGCTCCTCCTTGCAAGAAGAGAAGCGGGAGGTCCTGAGGGCGTGGAGTGGTGTGGGGAGAGAGATGGTTAGCAGTGCGACCAGGTCTTCCCTCCTGAGCTCCTGAATGGTCTGAGCCACAGGCCCCGTGGAAGAGAAGCAGTGCGGAGTGGTGTGGAAATACACAAGGCAGAGATAACAAGCAGAAATCGCTTTCTACTAATTACACTTCCCAAAGGCAATTCAAGAAGTATTATAATACCTTTAACTTTCTCCGCCCTCCCCCACCCTCCCCCCTCCTCCCTCCCCAATTTTTTTTTAGACATACGTAATGAAAGCAGCTCGTGTCGGAAATTTGTAATTGGCTGTTGGTTAGCCTACCCGGTCAGAATCATGGAAGTGAAAGCGCCTCCACGTGCCAGGTGGCAGCCTCAAATTGGCTGCTGACGGGTCGGCGAACTTGCTGCGCTCTGTGCTGAGGGAGGGAAGAACAGGGGGGGGAGTGTGGGCGAAGGGAGTGTGTGAGTGGGTGAACGAGTGAGTGAGTGAGTGAGTGAGTGAGTGAGTGGGTGAGCGAGTGAGAAAGTGAGGGTGTGCAGTGCAGTATGTGTGAATGGGCCCAAGTGATGGTGCAAGTGGTGTGTGGGCGTAGAGGTGGTGATATGCTGGTGAGTGAGAGGAGAGTTGGAGAGGGCAGAACGATGACGTAGTTGGGCAAGCTCTGTGTGTTGGTTGATGTGTTGTGTCCGCTTGTGCAACCAACAGCTGGGGAACGCAACACAGAATGGGGGTGCGGGAGGCGGGTTGGGGGGTTGGGGGAGCTGCCGTGGAGGACGGGGGGGGAAAACTCACAATGTCATGACAAGCAGAGGGCCCAGCAGAACATTTGAAATCTCTCAAAAGCCGTCGCAAAAGGGGTGCGCGAAGGGGGAAGGAGGGCTTGGGGGGGTTGTGGAGGTCGGGGGGTACGCCTCACAATGTCATGACAAGCAGAGGGCCCAGCAGGAACTGATCCTCCACCGCCCGCAGTGCTGGGTTCGATGGGTCTGCAGGGAACAGACAGGTATGGGTGCACACAGAGGCAGACAGACAGGAGACATGTGACCGAATTGACTACTGGCATCATGACAAGCAGAGGGCCTAGCAGGAACTGATCTTCCACTGCCCGCAGTGCGGGGTTGGATGGGTCTGAGCAGGAAATGGGGACAGAAGGCAAGTAATTTGATGTCCCAAGGGGAAAAAAAAAAGAACAGAGGGAGCAGGAGAAACTGGTGCATGACAGCAGGCGGCAGTGGGCTTTTGAGTTGACTTTTGAGTCGACTCAAAAGGAAACTGGTGCATGACAGCAGGCGGCAGTGGGCTTTTGAGTTGACTTTTGAGTCGACTCAAAAGGAAACTGGTGCATGACAGCAGGCGGCAGTGGGCTTTTGAGTTGACTTTTGAGTCGACTCAAAAGGAAACTGGTGCATGACAGCAGGCGGCAGTGGGCTTTTGAGTTGACTTTTGAGTCGACTCAAAAGGAAACTGGTGCATGACAGCAGGCGGCAGTGGGCTTTTGAGTTGACTTTTGAGTCGACTCAAAAGGAAACTGGCGCATGACAGCAGGCGGCAGTGGGCTTTTGAGTTGACTTTTGAGTCGACTCAAAAGGAAACTGGTGCATGACAGCAGGCGGCAGTGGGCTTTTGAGTTGACTTTTGAGTCGACTCAAAAGGAAACTGGTGCATGACAGCAGGCGGCAGTGGGCTTTTGAGGCGCCTCAACAGGCTGCTAACCCTCCCTCTGAAAAGACCGGGCAAAACAGACGCACCAGCAAAGGCGAGAGGCGAGATGACTGGGCTGCCGGTGTTATCGTGATGGTAGAAGAGCGTGTAGAGGTGTGGCAACAGGCGGTATCGTCGCTCAATGGCCTTGCGACACACTCCCTCACACTGGTGGGTGGGGTTGTGTGAAGCAAGAGAGATGGGAGGGAGGTGAGAAGGGAAAGGAGGAGACAGTGTTTATGAACAAGATTTTCACCAAGTCAAGTCAGGTTCAATTGCGGTACGAGAGGTAGGTCTTGAGACGAGGCATTTTTGTTTTCCCAACACACCATTTGCTACGACACAATATGGTACAATACAGCACATTACAAATATTTCCACCTCGTCCCATTCCCACCACTGCCTTTCCCGCTCCCTCCCTCTCCTGTTCCTCTCACTGCTTCCCCAAACACCCATGGTTCGGCATCCTTTGTCCCTTTCTCCAAGTGCCCCTGGGAAAAGGGCAGCAAGGCCCCGATACCCATCCCCAAACACCCCATTTGCAGCAATCTGCTTTCCCACCCCCATCCCCCACCTTGTCCCTCCCATTGCTCTCACCGCTTCCCCAAACACCCATGGTTCGGCGTCCTTTGTCCCTTTCTCCGAGTGCCCCCGGGAGAAGGGCAGCAGAGCCCCGATGCCCATCCACCGTGCGAACAGCCGCGGAGTGGCGTTCAAGGCAAACCCACCAATGTCTGGCCCGTTCAGAGGCTGGCCGCTCAGAGCCTGAAAAGGAAGTAAGTGTGGGATGGAGAGAGGTACATGGGGGTGAGAAGGGCAGCAGAGTGCCGATGCCCATCCACCGTGCGAACAGCCACGGTGTGGCGTTCAAGGCAAACCCACCAATATCTGGCCCGTTCAGAGGCTGGCTGCTCAGAGCCTGAAAAGGAAGTAAGTGTGGGATGGAGAGAGGTACATGGGGGTGAGAAGGGCAGCAGAGTGCCGATGCTCATCCACCGTGCGAACAGCCGCGGCGTGGCGTTCAAGGCAAACCCACCAATGTCTGGCCCGTTCAGAGGCTGGCCGCTCAGAGCCTGAAAAGGAAGTAAGTGTGGGATGGAGAGAGGTACATGGGGGTGAGAAGGGCAGCAGAGTGCCGATGCCCATCCACCGTGCGAACAGCCACGGTGTGGCGTTCAAGGCAAACCCACCAATATCTGGCCCGTTCAGAGGCTGGCCGCTCAGAGCCTGAAAAGGAAGTAAGTGTGGGATGGAGAGAGGTACATGGGGGTGAGAAGGGCAGCAGAGTGCCGATGCCCATCCACCGTGCGAACAGCCACGGTGTGGCGTTCAAGGCAAACCCACCAATATCAGGCCCGTTCAGAGGCTGGCCGCTCAGAGCCTGAAAAGGAAAGTGTGGGATGGAGAGAGGTACATGGGGGTGAGAAGGGCAGCAGAGTGCCGATGCCCATCCACCGTGCGAACAGCCACGGTGTGGCGTTCAAGGCAAACCCACCAATATCTGGCCCGTTCAGAGGCTGGCCGCTCAGAGCCTGAAAAGGAAGTAAGTGTGGGATGGAGAGAGGTACATGGGGGTGAGAAGGGCAGCAGAGTGCCGATGCCCATCCACCGTGCGAACAGCCACGGTGTGGCGTTCAAGGCAAACCCACCAATATCAGGCCCGTTCAGAGGCTGGCCGCTCAGAGCCTGAAAAGGAAAGTGTGGGATGGAGAGAGGTACATGGGGGTGAGAAGGGCAGCAGAGTGCCGATGCCCATCCACCGTGCGAACAGCCACGGTGTGGCGTTCAAGGCAAACCCACCAATATCAGGCCCGTTCAGAGGCTGGCCGCTCAGAGCCTGAAAAGGAAGTAAGTGTGGGATGGAGAGAGGTACATGGGGGTGAGAAGGGCAGCAGAGTGCCGATGCCCATCCACCGTGCGAACAGCCGCGGCGTGGCGTTCAAGGCAAACCCACCAATGTCAGGCCCGTTCAGAGGCTGGCCGCTCAGAGCCTGGGGATTTGCCAGTGAGATATAAGGTGCGGGGGAGAGAGGAGAGGGCGGAGGGGTACATGCTTCATGGTGGGAAGGGCAGCAGAGGCCCGATGCCCATCCACCATGCAAACAACCGAGGAGTGGCGTTCAATGCAAACCCGCGAATATCTGGCCCCTTGGCTGGCAGCTCAGAACCTGAAGGGGAGAAAAAAGGGAGGGGGAAAAGGGGGGTGGGAGGATCGGGGAAGGGAGGAATGGTACGGTGGTGGTGAGAATGGCAGCATCGCACCAATGCCCATCCACCGTGCAAACAGGCACGGCATGGCGTTCAGATCAAAGCAACCGATGTCAGGCCCGTTCAAAGGCTGGCCGCTTAGAGCCTGAAGAGGGGAGAAGTGGGGAGTTGGGGCCGAGGGTTACATAGTGGTGAGGGCAGCAATGCACCGATGCCTATCCACCCAGCGAACAGCCGCCGTGTGGCGTTCAAGAAAAAACCGCCAATGTCAGGCCCGTGAAAAACCAGGTAACTTGGCAAGAAGAACCAGGCCTTGAAGAAGAAAGACAAGAAACAACAAGGTAAGAAATAGCGGGGATAGAAGCTGCAGCAACAGCAAGAGGAAGAGCCAAATTGTGAGGATGTCTTTCAAAAGGAATTCTTGTTATTCTATGAAAGAACTGCTGTTTTTTGTTTGATGCAACTTGTATTGCCTAAATTCCCAACAGCCATGCTTACAAGTTATTGATAAACACCTTTTGACGGTGCAAATTTCCCTCTTTTGGCGCATTGACTGTAATTTTCTTGACCATTTGTTGCAATTTTATTACCACTCGAATCTTTGCTGCTTACTTTCTCCCACTCAACCCTCTGTCTTACTGTGGCCTGCCATTGTTTCCATTGCCAGGGATCACATCATCGAAAGCGAACCCGGAACCAGAAATTAGTTATGTTTTCTCGTTTCAGCATATCAACGGGGAGTGTAGCATATGGCACTCCAAGGAGGACCCGTCGAAGGTGGAACGCCATCGATTGGAGCAACGTGTGTGCACGATACCTGACACGAAATACCACATACCGAACAAGGTCAGCAGACTGTCAGTGGCGGAAATTTACTACCTGTCATCAAGACCAAGTGGAGTTTTTGAGCTTTCCATATAGAGAAGAAATTCAAGTATAACACCAAGAAAGATGATGGTCGGTCTTGTGCGTTTTTCCACGTAATTTTCAAGCCTAAGTTCCCTCATAAGGAGATGATACGCAAGCGGGAACTTATGAGGCTTGAAAATGACGTGGAAAAACTCACAAGACCAATCACCATCTCTTTTGGACTGTACTCACTAATATATTTATTTAATTATTAGTTTTTTTTTTAACCCTTGAAAACTCCACTTGGTCGTTGATGACAGACAGTAAATCTCCGCCTTTGACAGCCTCCTGACATTGTTCGGCATAAGGATTTCCGTAACAGTTATTGTATACCCACTTTGCTCTAATCTGTGCCGTTCCACCTTCAACGGGTCCTCCTTGGAGTGTCATATTCTACAATCCCCGTTGAAATGCTGGAACGAGAAAATATAACTATTTTCTAGTTCCGGGTTAATTTTCGATGATGTGATCTCTGACAGTGGAAGCAATGGTAAGGGGCAGTAAGACAGAGGGCTGAGCGGGAACAACTAAGGCGCAAAGATTTGAGTGGTACTAAAATTGCACCAAATAGCCAAGAGAATCACAGTCAACGTGCCAAAGAAAGGGGCCCTGCTCCTCCAACTGCATACCATACCATACCACACCACACCATACCGTGTTGAGCGCCATGGGGACACTCATGTGGAGGTACTCCCAAGTGGCCAGGTTGTTGACAGTCCACGAAACAGTATGGCGCTGGCTGCCACAATACTCACACATACATTCGTCCTTGCACTCCTGCGCTGCCACATACACCATACCATACCATGTTGAGCGCCATGGGGACACTCATGTGGAGGTACTCCCAAGTGGCCAGGTTGTCCCCCGTCCACGAGGCAGCATAGCGCTGGCTGCCAATGAACCACCTCTACACCTCCCCAACCATACTGCAGATACGATATCACAATCACACTATACACCGTACCGTACCATGTTGAGCGCCATGGGAACACTCATGTGGAGGTACTCCCAGGTGGCCAGGTTGTCGCCAGTCCACGATGCAGCGTAGCGCTGGCTGCCGATAAACCCCGCTCGAGTCAGCACAAACGGGCGCTTGTCGGGGAGAGCCTTTTCTAGACCCTCGCTGGTGGCTCGAGCCATGAGCATGCCGTATACCTGGTGGTGGGGATTGAATGGCCAGAACAGGGGGACGGAAACGAGGACAGGTGGGGAGGACTGGGCATCAGACAAGCCTGCAGCAGCGCTGCTACTGGCCCCTCCACGAGGCAGCATAGACCTGGCTGCCATGAACCTCGCCCCGCTTGGCGTAAGTACATAACTTCCAAACAGCATAGCCTTGTAACTTCATAACTTCATCTCCTTGCAACTCCGTGTGGACTTTAACCGAGTAACTTCGCAACCCCGTAACTTTGTAACCTGGTAACTCACGTTGTGGTAGTGCAGGTGATTCTGAGTGCCGCCCATGTCGCCGTCCCCCCTGTGGATGTTGTCGTCCGGCATCGTCTTACTGGCTGCAGTGCTCATAACTTTGTAACCTGGTAACTCACGTTGTGGTAGTGCAGGTGATTCTGAGTGCCGCCCATGTCGCCGTCCCCCCTGTGGATGTTGTCGTCCGGCATCGTCTTACTGGCTGCAGTGCTCATAACTTTGTAACCTGGTAACTCACGTTGTGGTAGTGCAGGTGATTCTGAGTGCCGCCCATGTCGCCGTCCCCCCTGTGGATGTTGTCGTCCGGCATCGTCTTACTGGCTGCAGTGCTCATAACTTTGTAACCTGGTAACTCACGTTGTGGTAGTGCAGGTGATTCTGAGTGCCGCCCATGTCGCCGTCCCCCCTGTGGATGTTGTCGTCCGGCATCGTCTTACTGGCTGCAGTGCTCATAACTTTGTAACCTGGTAACTCACGTTGTGGTAGTGCAGGTGATTCTGAGTGCCGCCCATGTCGCCGTCCCCCCTGTGGATGTTGTCGTCCGGCATCGTCTTACTGGCTGCAGTGCTCATAACTTTGTAACCTGGTAACTCACGTTGTGGTAGTGCAGGTGATTCTGAGTGCCGCCCATGTCGCCGTCCCCCCTGTGGATGTTGTCGTCCGGCATGGTCTTATTCACAGCCTGGTGTGCAAGAGGGAGGAGAAATGGGGAAAGAAATTGCATAATTCATTCTGCCACTATTAGCACAGACGCTTGTCGTCATCCATTCTGTGAATGTTGTCGTCTGGCATCGACTTGTTGACCGCCTGGTGTGGAAGACGGAGGAGATATGGGGAAAGGAAGTGATACTTATATCAAGCCGTTACTAGTACTGGCACAGATGCTTGTCGTCGTCCATTCTGTAAGTGCTGTCGTTTGCCATGGTCTTGTTGACTGCCTGGTGTGGAAGAGGGAGGACATATGGGGAATGGAAGTGAATAAAATCAATTCGAGCCACTACTAGTACTAGCACAGACGCTTTTTGACGTCCATACTGTAGATGCTGTCGTCTGGCATCATCTTGTTGACTGCCTGGCATGTGAGGGAAGGAGGGACGGGAATAATAAACGAATACACGTGCAGACAGAGAGACTCAGACACAGATTACAGACAGACGGACAGATGCACTCCCAAAATGCGCTCCCATTCACTCAACTCACCCGGAACACAGTGGGTTCATTCATGTCGTTCCAAATGCCATCCACCCCCTCCTTAGCGAAATCTGCCACCATGTCTCGCCACCACTCCCTCGCTCGCTGCATCGTGTAGTCAGGGAACTTGCAGGGGCCAGGCCACACGTCACCTGTGTGCCCAACGGGAAAGAAAGGGGGGAAGAAGAAGGTCTGCGCAAAGGAAAGGAAGCACAGCAAGTTGGCTCCTAGTTAAGCCATCATGTCTTGCCACCACCCTCTTGCTTGCTGCATCGTGTAGTCAGGGAACTTGCATGGACCCGGCCACACGTCACCTGTGTGCAGTGCAGTGTGCACGAGGGGAAGGAGGGAAAGCAAGTGGTTGTGAGAATTCTGGCATAGCGTGAAAGTCTTCCCACCACTCCCTCGCTCGCTGCATCGTGTAATCAGGGAACTCGCAAGGGGCCAGGCCACACGTCACCTGGAAGTGGGGGAAGAGAACGGCAAGTGGCTGTGAGAATTCTTAACCATGTCTGAATCTCTCAACACCACTCCCTCACTCGCTGCATCGTGTAGTCGGGTGCTTGCAGGGGCCAGGACACACATCGCCTGTGGAACAGTGCAGTGCCCCATGAAAGGGACGAATCGCAAGTTTTTTTTTTTTTTACCCGTGTATCACTGTCCCCTCACCACTCCCTGGCTCGCTGCATCGTGTAGTCGGGGAACTTGCAGGGGCCAGGCCACACATCACCTGAGGGAAGTGCAGTGCGCAGCAGGGAGGGAGGATAGAAAGTGGTACTTGAAAAGTCTGGGCCATGCATCAATGCCTCGCCACCACTCACTAGTCTAAGCACACTCACCCACGCTCACACGTGTACAAGCAAGCACGCACGCACGCACACACGCACGCACACACGCACGCATGCACGCACGCACACACACACGTACAAGAAGCCACACTCACCCACGAATGATTTTCCCTCCGCGTTAAGAATCCACACATCAGCCGCATCACCGGACTCCACCGGACCGTACCCCTGCTCCTCCTTGATCCCTGGGTCCAGCATCCAGATGGCCTTAAAGCCCGCCTCGTTCAAAAACCGCGCCAGCCCAAGCGGGTCAGGGTAGGTGACCGGATCAAAGGTGAAGCTCTTGTAACCATCCATGTAGTCTATGTCCATCCACATGACATCACATGGAATCTTCTTTTCCCTGAATGTCTTGGCGACCTATGAGCAACGAGGGATGGGAGAGGGGAGGGGAGGAAAAGAATGATCGGATATAGGGGTCTGGTCAGGGTGGGTGACCGGATGAAAGGTGAAGCTCTTGTAACCGTCCATGTAGTCTATGTCCATCCACATCACATCACACGGGATTCTCTTCTCCCTGAAGGTTCTGGCGACCTGGGAAAGAGAAATACATGCAAAGGGCAGAGTTGACCAGGTCAAAGGTGAAGCTCTTGTGAACGTCCATGTACCAGAGTGAAAGTGAGGGAGGGTTGAGTGGGTCAATGTGAAGCTCTTGTGACCGTCCATGTAGTCTATGTCCATCCACATCACATCACACGGGATTCTCTTGTCTCGAAAGGCTCTGGCGACCTGAGGGGTACAGGCAAAGCGTACAGGGTGCAGTGCAGGGTGGAGCAGTACGGTGGAGTGCAGTGCAGAGCGATGCAGTACAATCATCCATGTCACATCAGACACACACATGAAATCATTTCTGAAACGGATCTGGCCTGGCCATTTAAGGAGGACGGGGTCCATTCCATTATCCATACCACATCCATCCATATGTCAATTTTCACACCTTTCTCACCGCTCCTCACCACTTTTCACACTCCTTACCTCTCACCCCTCACCTCTTCCACCCTGGCAGCAGACTTGTAGCTGAAGCGGCACTGCTGCTGGTAACCCAAGACAACCTACTCTGACCGCTTCCAACCGCTCCTCACCTCTTCCACCCTGGCAGCAGACTCGTAGCTGAAGCGGCACTGCTGGTAGCCCAGCACCCAGCGCGCAGGGAGAGGGAGAGGCCCTAGGAGGAACGGCATTCGGCAGAGATGAAATAGGGCAGGCAGAGGAGAGAGGAGCACATTTGAGAGAGCCGCGTTGGTTAGAACAGACAATGCAACAGCAGAGGTACATACAAACTCCTGCTCTACCCAAGGCCACACCTAGACAGTAGACCTCGACCCCACAGTACAGCACATACAGAGTCCACAGAGTTGACTTTTGAGTCGACTCAAAAGTCACCTCAAGGCCACACCTAAATGGTAAACCTCGACCCCACAGTACAGCACATACAGAGTCTACAGAGTCTACATACCCCCCACTCACCGATGACCTTGGCCAGGAGCTGACTTTTGAGTCGAATCAAAAGTGCAATAGGGGAAGTACATACAGACCTATGGCCACCCATAGCCACACCTAGACGGTAGACCTCGACCCCACAACACAGCACATACAGAGTCCACAGAGTCTACATACTTACCCCCACTCACCGATGGCCTTGGCCAGGAGCTGCAAGAGGTGCGAGGGAGAGGCAGTGGGGCCGAAGAGGATGAGCGGGAAGGGAGAGACGATGCAACATGGGGAGTCAGACCCTACTCTATGCTAACACCTAAATCTCGAGCCTACAGCACAGCCCCTCACTCACTCACCAACGGCCTCGGCCTGGCCTATAGCACCCTTCCCTGTCTAACCACACACTCACCGATGGCGTTGGCGAGGAGCTGCAGGAGGTGCGAGGGAGAGGCAGTGGGGCCGAAGAGGATGAGCGGGAAGGGAGCAGATGCTGTGAAGCTGAGGGTGGGCGCGGCTCTTAGGTCCACCTGCGGAGGGGGAGAGGCGTAGTGGAGGGAGGAGTGGGGGGTTGAGGGAGGGAGGATGGGAGACGTGGTGGGGCCGAAGAGGATGAGGGAGAAGGGAGCAGATGCTGTGAAGCAGAGGGTGGGCACAACTCTTAGGTCCACCTGCCGGGGAGAGGGGAGTGGTGGAGGGACAATCGAGAGACGGAGTGGGGGGAGGATAAGTCTCGTGGTGGGGTTGAAAAAAGAGGAGTGGGAAGGGAGCAGTTGCGGTGAAGTAGAGGGTGGGCGCGGCTCTTAAATCCACCTGCAGGAGGGCAGGATATTACTTCTGTGAATTCTCATCAGGTGAAGTGAACCCAACCCAATCTTACATCGGGTGAACTCAACCCAATCTTACATCGGGTGAACTCAACCCAATCTAGCTAGAGCATGCAGGCGCAGACATACTCAAAACAGAATCGAATCAACCAGAGGGCCACCAACCATAAACGCATCAAACTCCCATCATGTTCTTGTCCATGCATCAGTTCAGTTCTGCCTGCATCAGTTCAGTTCTGCCTGCATCAGTTCAGTTCTGCCTGCATCAGTTCAGTTCTGCCTGCATCAGTTCAGTTCTGCCTGCATCAGTTCAGTTCTGCCTGCATCAGTTCAGTTCTGCCTGCATCAGTTCAGTTCTGCCTGCATCAGTTCAGTTCTGCCTGCATCAGTTCAGTTCTGCCTGCATCAGTTCAATTCTGCCTGCATCAGTTCAGTTCTGCCTGCATCAGTTCAATTCTGCCTGCATCCCTTGATCCCCCTCACCTCACATCGACGGGAGGTGTCAGCCAGGAACCCCAGGCAGCGACCGTCCGACAGCCAGCCAGCCCAGCAATGCCCCAGCAGCTAACCATTGCACCCATCAGCACCCCACATACTGCCCTGCTCACCTCACAACGCCGGGTGGTGTCAGCCAGGAACCCCAGGCAGCGGCCGTCAGGCAGCAGGGAGAAGACACAGGAGTGCGACATATAGAGCGAGGGGGTGCTGCCTGTCTGCCTGCCTGCGGCCATCTCTATCAACCGAACCATGACTTGACTATCATCCCCACCGGTTGGCCTGCCCTCCTCCTCGCAGCGCCGGGTGGTGTCAGCCAGGAAGCCGAGGCAGCGGCCGTCCGGCAGCAGGGAGAAGACCCAGGGATGCCACATGTAGAGCGAGGGGGTGCTGCATGCGTGCCTGCCTGCCTACCTGCCTGCCTGCCGCCATGCCTATCAACCGAACTTTGACTCGCCTGTCATCCCCACCTTTCAGCCTGCTCCTCACCTCGCAGCGCCGGGTGGTGTCAGCCAGGAAGCCGAGGCAGCGGCCGTCAGGCAGCAAGGCAAAGACCCAGGGGTGGGACATGTAGAGCGAGGGAGTGCTGCCGTTGAAGCCCCAGCAGTCCGTGTTCCATGTGAAGATCTGGTGAAGGGGAGAAAGGGGGGCAGTGGGATGCGAGGAGACGAAAGGAGGGACGGGAGTTGCTGTCAGGGAGGGAGGAAGGGGAAAGCCCCAGGCCCCAGGGTTGAGAGGGCGTGCTGCCATTGAATCTCCAGCAGTCCGTGTTGTTCCACGTGAAGATCTGGTGACAGGAGCCTACTCAATACACTGACGTGCCTCAGGAAAGAATTGTAATGGAAGAAAACGAGGGGTTTACAAAAGAGTTTGGACCGAAGCAGAAGTAGAGAAAGCAGCAGCATCACCCCCAGTATCCCACATACCCGTTTCTTGCTCCTCTCAAGAGGCCCTCCCACCTCCCCGGTTCCATAGAAGGACGACCCCTCGGGTAGCTGCCAGGGAGGGAGGGGTGATGAGTCGCATGATGGATGGATGACAATTGAATTCAGAAATCAAGCTTTGAGATGTCTCAAACGTCGTTTCTTGCTCCTCTCGAGAGGCCCTCCCACCTCCTCAATCTCATGGAATAACGACCCCTCGGGTAGCTGCCAGGGGGGAAGGTCAACATCACATCGAACATAGATGAATTCGAGAAACAAGAGTGCCACCGAGAATCCGCGCCTGGATGATTTGAATCCAAGGAGCCTCAAAATCGGAGGCAAGACAGTGAATGGACATGGATAAATTCGCTCTTCGCATTCAAATGGTCGAACTACCTGGATGGTAACCACTTGCTGGTCGTTTCGCAAGCTGAATTTGACAGAAGCAGCAACCCCTGCAAGCACATCCTCGATAGAGAGCTCCTCCTTTCCCGAATCAACGCCTCCTAGTCGCTGCTCTCTGGCTGGTGGTTCTGCGAATGAGAGAGACGGAAAGGCCGCCTTCCGAGAAGCTTCGTTCGCGTCCAGGCGAATGATCCCGTCCGCTACTATGGGGGTTACGACAATCTTATCGCTGCTGAAGCTAGTGTTCTCCGTGGAACCCGGCGGAACAGAGGAATCCAAAGATCCTGTCATTCTCACGGATCGTGCGCTTTCGCTAGAAACAGCTTTGGACTTATTCACCGAAATAGAACCGGAATCTGCACCCGAACCACTGGCTCGCAGGCAGAGCCCTTTTCTTCGCTCCCTCACTTGCCGCGAGTGGACCTGCCTACTGGCGCAACGTAATGCGCCAATTGAACTCCCTGAAATGTCAGGGGAGGGCAGGGGAGGTGAGAAGGCAGAAGCGATCATGGCAGAATGTACAAAGCCTGCTTGACGGTGAAATTGCCAATGTAGTTAAAGTGCCCTCACACAGCATGTCGATGTAGTATAATGGTCAGTATCTCCGCCTGTCACGCGGAAGATCCGGGTTCGATCCCCGGCATCGGCGCGCTTTGAAACTGCCAGTTTTGTCGGAGCCGTACCCGTACGCATCTGCAGTTTTGTTTAGTGGTTCACCGCACTAAAGCTGAGTACCGTGTGCAGATCTGGTCTCACTGCTCTGCACCCACATTCAGCAATTTTGTCAACCAAATCTCTCCTCACCTCCAACCTGGGTGGGCTAGGCAGTCACCACCAGCCCTTTCCGTAGTGGCTGTCGCACAATTCTCCGCCTTTCTAGCTGCTTGATTCTAGTTGCTTGCCGAAGCTTCAATGTAGCGTGGGAGGAGAGTGATTCGGGATTATGGTGTTTGATGACGCCTATCAGGTGATAGGGTTCGTGGGAGGCTGCATGTTTCCTTTGTCCACAGCAGCTCAGACATACAAGGTTCTTAGGACCAAATCAGCCACCGATATAAGCTACGCCTGGTGAGCTCGCGGATGAGATGAGCTATTTCTAGGTATTCATTGCATGCTGTCATCGCGACTTTTGTTGCTTGGCGAAAGAATTTATCGTATAATTCTCGCCTGCCCCATGCCATTCAGAGGTGTTGGTCCGCACGCGTGCGAGACATTATATTGCCCTCGTCTGGCCACTTATCATATCATTTGATAGTCTGAGCTCCCTGATTACGCATTTCTGTCGTCATCCTGTCCTTCCTTTTCCATGCCAATGCTCCCTTGCTCCCTTGTTCTAAATTCACCATGCGCAGGCAATTCATTTTTGCCCTCGCGCATCTACTCTACCTCGTTTATTCTATTCATTTTGGCTTATGGGTCATTTACATCCCTCAATCCGTGGAGATTGCGCTCTTAATCTTCATGATTGTTGCTAAAGTGTATTTTGACAATTTTGGACCCAAGCGCAAGATCACACGTGCCACGGGAAAGAGTTCGTCCACGACAGGTGAGACCAACATGTCTTGCTGTTAATAGCATGCACTTTTGTGCGTGTTTACGCAAGTAGTGTGTTTGTTTTATCATCTGGCTGGCGTTCACTGATGGTTATTCCCATTAACCCACTCCCTCTCCCACCCTTCATCACTCCCTGCCCTGGCCTCCTCTTTCTCGTGCTCCTCTCGTGTCATCAACCCCTTCCTCTTTCCCCTCTTTGTTATGCGTGCTTCATGCTTGTACATGGCAGCCATGTTGGATGTTGGACGAGCACCAGATGACACATAGTCCTTCTGTACAGATTTTTCAATAAACGATTACGGTATTTTGGACCTCTTATGAGTTAATGGACTGTCAATCTAAATCACAAACGACTAGCTCATTCATGGAGCGATTATAGTGAGTGCTGTATTTCATGGATGTATCGTCTGATTTACATTCAACACGATTATATACCGTACCAGATTCATGGGGGTTCAACTACCGTAGTCTCTTGCGCACGTGATCAGGGCATGATACAGTGAAATGTAAGAATGGCCCTTGACTGTAAAAAAACATCTTGAGCTGTGAAGGATGCACGATCAGTGTACTAGAAGGTACAAAAGATTTGTACATAAGTCTCCTTGCAAGTGCTATACTACCTATGCAGTGGCTTGTATAAGACCAGAGTGACATATTTAGAGCGAAACCTGTGCGTCAACCCAAGGGCAAGCACTGACCTTGCTGCTTTACCTTTCTCCACGTATAGGTGGTTCAGAATGACATGCTGTGGCCGAGGCAATGTTGTGGGAGCGTCACCAGCAACAGGAACATTCAGCAGGGTGAGCTGTAGGTGCGGTGGAAGAAGAGGTGGCTCTTTGGCGAAGTCTTCAGGAACAGGGAAAGGATCGTTGTAGCTAGAGACAGGTGACCGAGGTGGCTCAAATCCCGCTACATTGTCAAGGTTCTCTGGCACGTACTCCTGCACAGTGGTTGCATGGAACCCACACAAGTCAGCAACAGAAACTGGACCAATGACGTAAGCTTGACTTGGTCCAGTTATAACATACCTGCACTTCCAGAACGTTGTTCACGTTTCCCATTTCATCGTACACGGCTGGAAGGTCAGGAGCATACCGCCACACATCATCCACGATAAACTTGTACTGGTAAACCCCAGGTGGCAGCATCTTCACAATTGTGAAATCCTTGCCGGCGCGCTGCAAGACTTGCCTGAAAAAGAGATAGAAAGGCGCTTACAAAACAGGTCTCAACAATGTGTGGTGTCTTTCTCTATGCTATTCTGTTGTTGGCCCTTCTTTCATATCATTAAGTATGCAGTTTGAACCCTTCCTTTCATGTCATACAACTAAGCAGTTTGAGCCTAATGAGATGACAGCCATATTTACAATCCAAGCCTCTAGCTTCCGTAGTGAAAAACTTGAAAAACATGGACATACCTTGTCGTCCAGTTGTCCCACGAACCATCCACGGACACATGGTTGCCTCCATGCGTCCACGTGATGAGTGTTGGCACTCCTTGCTCTCCATCCGCCCCGGGCCCACCCGCACCATCACCACCGTATCCACCAAAGCCTGACCCCAGAGATAGTTCATCCGCCTTGGGAATTGGAGCCATAGGAATCTGTAGAATTGGGGACAGTCGATTGGTGGGAGCCACAATTGGTACTTCGGGGACAAAAGAAAGGCATCAACAAATATCCACAGTTCCGCGGATGCAGAAGATGAATTCGACTGAGTGCAACCACGGCCAGCTCGCAAGCACAATAATTAAGAGTGTCATTCAGACATAGATGACAGTCGGCACGGCAGAGACCTAAACGGACCTCTGTGGAGCGAGCACTAGCCAGGACATCACATCACAGCGCCACTAGGGCTTTGAAAAAAACACCATGCGGGCTACCTGTGGACAATTCTAAAATCTCAGAACTCGACTAAAGCGACCTCTGGACATTTTTGCGCAGAAACGTTTACGGGCACTGGCAGCACTGTAAGAGTTGTCACGCAGAATGTTACCCATACAGTCAATATTCTGAAAAAAACTTGGCGGATGTTGACGCACCTGCGGACAGCGAACATGAGAGGCGACCTCGCAACGCCGCTACGGCTATCCGGCGGGCTGTTTCCCATGAAGTCACTACTCTAAACTACCCGAGCAGATGCTGAATTACCTGCGGAGTGAACATGAGCGGAGACCGCGCGGCGCCGCTAGGGCTATCAGGCGGGCTGTTCCCCTTGGAGTCGTTGGAGTGCGACTGACCAAGTCTAATTTCGAGGCGCCTCAAAAGTACGCACCTGCGGAGTGAACATGAGCGGAGATCTCGCAGCGCCGCTAGGGCTGTCGGGCGGGCTGTTCCCCATGGAGTTGTTGGAGTGCGACCGACCAAGTCGCGACGCCAATCGCCGCCCGCTCTCAGGCACCGGCCGCCCTTCCATGCTGCTGCGACCCTTATCGCGGCCTTGCGCGTTGCCCATTGTCGCTAGTCGATGATGAGGGTAAAAAGGAACGGTGAAATTGATCGGTTGCTACTGCTGGTTTCGAGGCAAGAGGACAATGTGAACTATGGGTCAAAATCAGCTCTAAGAATATAATATCCCGAAGCAGACCCCACACACACCGAAAACACCTAATTTACCCTAAGCGAGTCCACTAAGTTAGGAACCAAGCGACAACCTTTCCACCAGGCACTACCCAGAGAAGGGAAGACCGGATAATTCTGTGACGCTGCGTATCTGTTCACTGAACGGATGAGGACTAAGGGCGCGTGTCTTTTGGTGTAGAGGTTCAAAATTAAGGTCGACCTTTTGGTGGTAACCGGCTTCGTTAATTTCGTTGAAAGCTGTTTGCGATAATCGTGTTTCCAAGTTTAAAGATTGATGAAACAGAGGGACAATGAACTGGGGTCGAATTTTCACGTGCCCGTTTAGCCAAACGTGTGTTCTTCTTTTCATGCACAGTGAATCTGCGACATTCACGATAGTAACGAACGACATCGGACCTCGTTACTTCATCCGGATTAGTTTACGAGCTACGTTTTCAAATCGGGTAGCCTACGAAACTGGGGCGCGACTCTGGTTTTACTGTATAAAGTCGAACTTCTGAAGTCGAACTTTGATGTGCCATGTGATTTTTGGGAGAAAAAATCGCGACTCGGGACCCAAAACTTGAGATACTCGAGTACAGGTCGACCTAGGTTCAAACGTAAAAAATCGACTAGAAAACATGAACTTTGCAATAAAATCCAAAAGACACGCGCCCTAACACATCAACGAATGAGATGCTCTGCTGGCACTTACCTGTGAAAGAGAAACACCCAATTCTAGGGTAACCAGACTGTGTCACATCGATGTTGGCAACTGTCTTCGCACACTACAGCTGATGCTCACCCCATGCACGCGAATTTGCCTTGCACCGGATGGATACGCTGCACCCGAGGTCGTTTCCCCAGCCTTATCCACCTACATTACAAGCGCGTCGCGTGGTTATCAACCAATAGTAACGAACAGACCAAAGTCAAACTAGGAACAGACTGAAGTCAAGCAGAAGAGACTGAAGTCAAACTAGGTTACAGATCTTGTTTATAAGCACATGCGAATCCTTTTTAGCTAGCTGCGAATTGACGAAAATTATGCGAAATGCTCGTGACAGCTTATACGCCCCCTTCGTAAGGCAACCGGGAGGGGCTCAAACAGGCATCAGGTGTACATTCATCCCCCCGCTGGTCGTGGTTGAGCTTTCGACCTTTTGATTCTGTTTT